CTTCCATGTACTAGATTGGTCATATACAGTACTGAGTGATTGAGTATTTTAGATTGTGAGTACACGGAGTTTTCATTAAGGTGCATCATATACAGTACGTACATTGGCATGTAGATACAGAGATGTCATATTCCTCATATTGTTCAGAATTGATCTGTTTTATTTGTACCGAAAGCAAGTGTTGAACTTGAAAGTATGCCTACATTTATGTATTGTTATTATTTATACTGGATTGTACATGCGGAGCTCGTCACTACTTTCAGCCCAGAGGTTAGTTTTATTACTTATTGAGTTGGTTGTACTCATACTACACTCTGCACCTCGTGTGCAGATCCAGGTACTTCCGGATACGGTGGTTGCCAGATTTGAGGATTTATCTGTTGGAGACTATCAAGGTAGCTGCTCGGTGTCTGCTGATCTTGTCTCTCTTTTCTTCAGTTATTGTATTGTTCCATACTTTCAGACAGTGTTTTATCAGTCAGACTTTATATTCATATTAGATACTCATGTACTCAGTTAGATCGGGTTTTGGGGGTGTTTATATATGTATTTTTGAGACTTCTTCTATTGCATTTAAATACTATATTTTTAAACTTAAAAGATATGGTGGTTTATTGAGATTGTCGGCTTGTCTAGTATTGAGATAGGCGTCATCATGACAAGTGAGATTTTGAGTCGTGACAATTTTTTTCCGACTAACTTAGTCAGAACGCTGGCACGCAGAATTTTGCGAGAAAAAATTCCGACCGATGTGGCCGGTAACTATAAAATTTAAAAAAAAAAAAACTTTTTCTAAATTTTCGACGGAATTCGACGAAAACTTCCGACCACTTTTTTCAGTTGGAAATTCCGGTCGGAATCTAGTCGTTTTCTAGTAGTGTTTTCTGTTAATTTTCTGAAGTTGGCTCCTCCTGGAAAAAGTAAAAGATAAGCCCTAATGAATGAAGAGTTTTATTCTCTCACTTTCCTTTCAGTCTCTATTTGAACAAAACCAATTAAAAGTGAAAATTCTACTTTTCTACTTTCCCTTCCATAGTTGCAAGAATAGTGTGGAGAAATGGAAGTTAACGTCTTTTTCTTTCCCATGTTTGGTTTACAAAGATAGAGATAGAGATAAAATGGTGTACTAAAAGTTTTAATTACCTGTAAAAAAAATTAAATTCACATTTAAACGAACGTATGGTCAAAGTGCAATCATAAAATTCGGAATGAATTATAGATTGGATGGTTGGCCCATGAAAAGGGAGCCCAGTACACAATATCGAGACAAAAGTGAAAAGGGACTTTTTCGTATATATACAAGATTTTAAACTTATTTACCCGATTTTGTCTAGTTTTTATATTTATAGGAAGTAACAAAAGTTTTTTACAAAATATATACAAATTCGGTCAGAATCTATAATTTATCTACAACATAAAATCATAAATACACATTTGTTGTACAGAATCCGGTCAAAAACTACAATTTATATACAATTTATATACAACTTATATACAATTATGTAAGTTGTAGATATTTTGTATACCGTTTCAACATTCGACATAAAAAATATATACAATTTGTTCACGTCTTCTTTTGCGAGTTTCAATCTGAAATTTCAACCAAAACCAACTCGAATCTTCACCAAATTGTCTCAAATTTGAGATATAAACTCCAACGGATATTCCCAATCATTTGCAACAACACTCAATCCAAACAAAAAATAATTTCATAAAATTCCATTTTCGAATCCAAAGCTTTGAAACTTTTTAATGGTTGTCAATGGAGTTTTTAATGGATTAAAATAGTTTTCAATTCAATCTACTCGCTTCTAATTAATACTATGTTGTTTATTGATTCCAAAAAGCTAAAAAAAATGATAACTAGCATGATTCTCTTCATCAGAGCTAATTTCTTTCTTATTTACTTCCTCGTTTTCATAGGATCTGAGACATGAACTTTGCTAGGTACTAATCTTCTCTCTCTTTTTTCACTTAACATTAGTATAATTTCTTCAGTTAATCCACATGAAGATATTAATATAAGAATACTGATAGAGAATGAGAGAGAGACATAGAGAGAGATCAAAGAGAGATAGCGAAGAGGGAATTCCCTGTTAAATTCCTAATATAATGGGATACTCATTAATACTAATTTGTATATAATTTGTAAATTGTATATCAACTTGTAATTAAGTTAAAACCTAAATAATGAGGGTAAATAAGTTTCTAATGTAGTACATATAGGTAAAAATCCCAAGTGAAAATAGCACGGGCTAGCCAGTTGTCAGACTTTTAATCGAAAAATAGTCAGCGTTTGCAAAGTCATTGAAAAATAGCCATTATTTTATGCGGAGATAAAATTTGGACAAAAATACCCTAAATAAAACAAGGAAAGTTCCAGCATATTATGCTGGATTATGTAGCTTCTGCATATAAACTTTCAGCATATTATTTTGGAACTCGAGCACATTATGTTGGAATATCTTTTTAAAAATATTCGAATTCCAACATATTATGTTGGAATTTTTCCGAATTTTTAAGGATATTTTTGTTCAAATTTTATCTTTATATGAAAATGTGACTAAATTTTGGTTACATTTAAAAATATGACTATTTTTCAATTACCCGTTGTAAATCGGCTTATTTCTGTTTTTTTTGTTTTTCTAGAGACAAAAGGGAGTGGATAAGTTTACCCCTTTAAGCGAGATTTAGATAATAAGGTTGTCTCCAACAAAACTCAGTATTTTTAACGCGGACTAAGCTTAGGTATATATATGTATGAAAAGTCACTAAATATTTCAATAAATATTATACTGTTTGAACTCATAATTATAAAATTACAATGAGCTCGACAGTAAGAACATAAAATTTAAACCTAATTTATTGAAATTTTGAGATCCGCCTTTGTTTAAGATGAGGAAAAACATACAATAAACACATAAGTTTTCTATTAAAACATAAGTAACCAGGGGCGGATTTAGGGGCGGATGGGGGTTCACCCGAACCCCATTCGCCGAAAAATTACACTTTATATATAAGGCAAAATCTTTTTTTTTACCTCTATATATTAAGTTTTGAATCCCCTTGACACAATCCAAAAGTGTAGCTTAGTGGTCAAAGGGTTCAAAACTTTTGTAAGGTCATAGGTTAAATTCCCAGTAGTTTTAACTTTTTTCTTTTTGAACCCCTTAGCGAAGATCTTGCCTCCCCCACCGTCATTAATCCCTCAATGTTGAAAATTATTAATATAACCACCTTATATGTTTTACGTATGACTTATATATATGTGCAATTGGAAATAAGTTTATATTGATATTGCGAATAATTTTTAAGTATTTATTAAAACCATACATATTCTTGCAAATTGCAAATTTGCAATACAAGTTTTTACTTTTTAATTATCTCCTCTGATCCTTTATCTACGGAAAAATTAAAAAGAGAGGCGCAGTTGAAAGGAATTGACAACTGACAACGGCCAATACAAATATGGAAACAAACAGTTACCGCCAATTTCGCTCTTTCCCTTCTCAGATTAACTTTCTCTTCCAAATTTCCATTCCCTCTCCAATTTCTATTCCCTTTTTTTGTTACAATTTCTCCGGCGACTCTTCGGCGTCGTATGGCTGCCGTCCGTTTATCTTCCTATAATAAAGTTAACAATTACACAATTTGACATCTCTAAAGTTTAGTTGCCTTTGTAATGAAATAAGTCATACTCCATTTTTTATGCATGCATTTTGTTTGATTATAATGTGCAAGTAATTCATTTTCTGAATTCATACTTATTTGGCCACATTTTTACTTCTTTACTTTGGGGATAATTATGCATATCGTTAGCTTGTGATAATCTGTTATATTGAAAGTTATTAGGACTAAAGATTGCTTTATTATGTATCAGAAAAAGGAATCTCTAAGGTTGCTGTTAACATTAGATCGTGAAAAGATTAGAGTTGTTTACTTCCAGCAACTAATGTGTTTACACAAAACGAATGAATGCAATATGTCTTTTATACACACATTTTGCACTTAATCATGGTTAAGTGATATATATTCCACATTTATCTATAACTGCTAAATTTGGCATAAACACCGAGTTTAGACCTATATTTACTTATCCTGTTGGTGTCGTCTTATTCCATCAAATGATCTCTCTTCTGTTTTTACTCATGTCGTACTAATTGTTGTTGTCATAGTTGTGGCTATTTTCTGTAATGATTCCAAGATTTTCTATCCTATTACGGTCAACAGCTACTACGCCTCAATCCAATACATCATATTACCAAGACTTAGAAGAGTAAAATTCTCGGTGACAGAAATTTCCTTTTACTCTTCAAAGAATAGTTAATTTCCTTACCTAGAATGGTTAAATAAGTTTTTGATTTTCATGTGCCATAGTTAAGGCATTTTCCGGTGGATTCATATCCTTGCATGTTTGAATGAACTTATTGATTTCTTTCATCCTATTCTTTTGACAGATCTCCTACTTTGCGCTGAGGAACTTGTTGGATGCATGGGATGGCTGTTTTAGGTTGCCAATTGGATTGAAATCAGATTTACTTCAATGTACATATCATTTCATTAACATGGTTGGATATTTGTAGTATAGGCAGGAGAGTTAGTACATGGTTGGATATTTGTAGTATAGGCAGGAGAGTTAGTTTGCTAAATGAGATGAGGAAATTCCTCCGGCCAATAATTGTTGTTCTGTTGTTCAGAGTTAACTGGAGGAAACTGTTTGTTATAGGCACTATTTTAACAGTGTTCAGGGTCATTTTTCAAATTTCCACACTCCCTAATCCTTTCACTGAATGGGTTGTATCTCCACCCTTGGATGTTTCATCTTACCAACACTTCAATCGTGGAAAAAATTCGAGGGAACTTTCGGTGACATCAGATAACCAGTTGAAAATGAGTAGGCATTTGCCCACAGTTGTTTCACTCCAATCTACAGCCACAACAAACCGATCAAAGCGAGTTCTGGAAAGACGAGAAAGACTTCTTAGGCGTAGGAGACACAGGAAGCATGCACGCGTAGTAGAAAAGATTATTTATCCACCTCCACCTGTTGTGCCCGATCACTTGCAGGTAAGTCTGATAATGTGCTTATATTCCTCAGGAGCGATTAGTAAAGTCATTCTTCCTTCTTGTTATCTTGTTTTTAAATCTAATGTAGTCATCTCCAGAGATTTATAGCTTCTTTGACACCAAATGAGGCACTTGCATATGCTAAAAGCGAGATTGAGAAAGCTCCTCTGGTCACCAATGATACAGACTTATATGCTCCGCTGTTTAAGAATATTTCCATCTTTAAGAGGTATGATGGGTTATAGTTCCTTACATAGCTCTTTATCTGATATGATGTTACTCAATGGTTGTGTGTCTGATTTTGTTAGGGTAGAGTTACCTTTAACCACTCATCTCTTTGCCTATTTGTGGTGCAAACAAATCACAATTGTTTTCTTCCCTCAGCAAGTATAGCCTAATAAAAGCTTTATAGTATTGTACATACCTTTGGCATCTCTTTCATAATGGTTCTTTTTGTTTAAGCACAATTTTGGATTGACATTGCAGGAGTTACGAGTTGATGGAACTTTTACTCAAAGTTTACATTTACAAAGAAGGAGAGAGACCTATTTTCCACGAACCTCATCTTATGGGAATTTATTCATCTGAAGGATGGTTCATGAAGTTGATGGAGGAAAGCCGCTACTTTGTCACCAGGGACCCAGAAAAGGCTCACCTATTCTATCTGCCATATAGTGCACGTCAGTTGCAGCTGGCACTTTACATACCTAACTCACACAATCTTAAGCCGCTGTCAGTATTCCTGCGCGACTATGTTAATATGCTAGCTGCAAAGTACCCGTTCTGGAATCGCACACATGGAACAGATCATTTTCTAGTTGCTTGCCATGATTGGGTATGCATCAAATTCTTAATTAAAAATATAATCTTGGCAGTATAGTATCCTTTAATTTCTTACAACGATGTGCATTACCAATTGTTACAGGGGCCTTACATTTTAAAAGAACATGAGGAGCTAATTAGAAACACTATTAAAGCTCTCTGCAATGCAGATATATCTGAAGGAATATTTAAAGCTGGGAAAGATGTTTCCCTCCCAGAGACCGCCATTAGGAACGTTCAGAAGCCACTTAGAAATCTTGGTGGAAAAAGAGTGTCACAACGCCCAATTCTTGCCTTCTTTGCTGGAAATATGCACGGTCCAGTCCGTCCCAAACTTCTCCAGTACTGGAGCGACAGAGATGAAGACATGAGGATTTACGGGCCTCTACCCAATAGAGTCTCAAGAATTATGTCTTATCCTGAACACATGAAATCAAGCAAGTACTGCCTTTGTCCAATGGGCTTTGAAGTGAACAGCCCAAGGATCGTCGAGGCAATATACTACGAGTGTGTGCCAGTGATCATTGCTGATAATCTAGCCCTCCCATTTGACGAAGTGCTCGATTGGAGTGCTTTTTCTGTGGTTGTTGCTGAGAAAGATATTCCTAAACTGAAGGAGATTTTGTTAAGTATACCTCTAAGACAGTATTTGGTCATGCAAAATAATGTCAAAAGGCTGCAGAAGCATTTCCATTGGAACTCAATACCTACTAGATATGATCTGTTCCACATGATTTTGCATTCCATTTGGACTAGCAGGCTCAACCAGCTTCAAGTATCACAGATATCATAATCCCTCTCGAGTTCAGACTGCTCTCAACTTGCCCGTCTGCTCGATTGAACATCAACATGAACCATAAGGGCTCTTTTTGACATTTATAGGCCGATATTTCAAGAATTGCTGGTGACTAATTCTCTTCACTTGTACACTCTTGAAATGATATGAGGTATTGAAAGCTTTTTCCACTTCACTTGAAAGAACACAAATGAACATAGCTTTATTGATAAGACCAATTTCTTTCTGATGGCAGAGGTTTCACCGATTGGTTATTCCTGTCCGTTCGTATCTCTTTTTCCAACTGCAGACTCTGCTGCGATTCAGGTAGTACTCAATAGTGGTGCAAGGATTACAGGTCCCAAGTTGCACATGCACATTACAGCCGGAGGAGGAAAGATATCGCAGTTAAGACTTTGTCTCATGTCATCAGCATTTTCACACATTTTCCCTATTTTCACAGTTCCTGAGCCGAGGGTCTACCGGAAATAACCTCTCTATCCTCATACGTCAGGAGTAAGCTCTGCGTACACTCTACCCTCCTCAGACCCCACTTGTGGAATTTCACTGGATTTATTGTTGTTGTTCCCTATTTTCATAAGGTTTCCGCTGAAGTTGAATTTTCTTCGGTATAAACCAGGTTATCCGTAGATGATCCTTGATTTTATTTTCCAGAAGATACTCTTAGAAATGAGCAGGGAGTTCATTCTCATAGAATTCTAAAGTTATAGTAGTATATATAGAAAAGGAATTTACATTTTTGAATAATGCTCTAATGTCCGACACAGTAAGACTGGAGAATATTCATCTAGTTGGTAATTGTATTGAATACAATGTAGAATATTCAAGTATACCAGGGAGAGAAATTCCCATCTACTTTTCTGCTGTGAATATATGTACCAGTGTATATTTTTTCAGTAATCACAAGAACAAATAGTGATTTCTACATTTCTGCCCTATATTAGTCGAGTTTAAGTTTTATACACTGACGGTGTAATGTATTACAACTACTAAAATCACTGGTAAAATGACTTGCTATTGCAAGTTAAACTGCACTAATATCCGTTTCAACTACTTAGATGCCACTCTGGGGCGAATGCAGCTCATTGTCATTGTGTTTATTTAAACCCAGAACTTTCAGCGCATATTACAAATTTATATGTGATAAATCACGAAAAATGCAACAAATAGTAGATATGAACTCATAACTTAACAAATATAATGGGTTCAATTATAAGAACTTCAAAGATTAAACCCATAAAATTTAAATCTTAGATCCGCCTCTAATGCAACATTTACTAGATGATTATCCTTCGCTGCTTCATATTTCATACCAATGACGACCCCTCTTCGTTGTGGAAATGCAGGGAGAGTTTTATAATTAACACTTTAGATATGATGCCATAAGTACGTCCGAGATCTGACATTGAAAACACTAGCTCACATAGATACAAACGTGACACGGCTTCGTCAATTTTTTTCTACTAAATTTATATGTTAGATAATATAAAATAATATATGGGGTAAAAATACCTTTTCAAATTGTGACGCAGCGGCGAACAAAATTTCCTGCTTAAGCCACTGAGAACTAAAACAAAGATAAATGTTGGTAAGCATTCTACTCACTGTCTAAAGAAAAGAGATGCCAGAGTTTCACGACAACTTCCTTTATCAAAGAGAACGTTATCGCTCAAGTTATTAGGATTAATACGTCTCGTATAAAACTCTCAAATGACAAAAATGTCCATTGTTAAGAGTCTAAATATCCAGTATCTTAATATAATCAGGCAACTGCTTGACTAAGATAGTTTGAAAAACAAACCAAAAACAAAGAATTTGCCTTTTGCACCAAATGACCAGTTTAATGTGCTTATGTACACGCTATATAAAACTATACTTAAATTATATACATCGCCGGGGTAAAAAATTTAACAGTAAGAAGTAGTTATCTGTGACAGGTTATTAATTAACCTGATAGTGGAAAATGGTTAACTTGAAAGCGAATGTTTACCTGTGAGTTTACCAAAAATTCGTCGTACCAAGAAAGGGGCAAGTATGATGAGGCATGTGAAGAGGTGAGTTTCCCAAAGCTCCTTAGGGGTCATTTGATACGCAGATTAAATTATTCCGGGGTTCTAATCTTGGGATTATAATCACTTGATTAATTTATCTCATATCCTGGGATATCCTGCGGAATAAATTTATACCGTCAACCAAATATGGTATAAATTTAATCTCACACCTTATCCTACCTTATCCCGGGTACCAAACGACCCTAAATGAACTTCTCTGATGAGTACCAAGCTCCTTAAGAATCTAACAAAACGATCTGAAGAAAAAACGAAAACAAAAAGAGCAGTAATAATCGCTTCAAAAAACGCAAAGGCTTTTGTAATTCCTACGCAAAGACTTCTCTGATGACTGGGTGCACAGTACTCGATAAGGCACATCAAAGCTTATAGCTTCAGCTAGGAGCAAGAACTATATAACTGAGTCGAAGGACTCAAGGCTTGCACAAAGGTTGTTACATCAATTCTCCATGCTGCACAAGATAAGCTCATTTACAAACAAAACAAAACAAAACAAAACAAAACTTTGGAAGACAGCAGATTTTTAATTTCCTTTCTTTTTGCTCGAGTATTTCTATTCTTTTTTCGTTCACTCCTATACCTATCTTCGTAATCTTCTTACTGTAGTGTTGCTTGATTTACCATGTACACATTGCCCGACGCTGCAAAAGCTCTCTTGAGTAGACTGAAAGCACCAACGATAAGCAACATCACTACTACCTTCTTTGATGCGAAGACCCTGAGATTCACCCTGAAGCCATGCTTTCTCATGAACCTCACCCCAGACACGCGTAACACGAGAAGCCAGGAAATGAAAGAGCACAACACAACTTTAATCATCTCCGTCAGTCCACATACACTCCTTGCATCATTGGACAAGTCAACATATGGCCAAGAAGGAGCCTCTTGGCTGCTATCGACCTGGATCAACCCAAGACTCTCGTTCAACCAGCCTGATAGCTTTACAAGCACCCTTGCCAGCCACGCGATTTCATCATCTGAGATGGGCCGCTTCATCCAATCACCCTTGTATTTAATATCGGCCATTGTTCTGTTGCCAAAACTTCTGGGTGTAAAGATTTCATCCCGTGAGTGCTCACACTGTACAATTTCTGGCGTATTCAGGGGCTTCAAGATAGGGCCACCAAATAACTGGCCAAGCTCAGATTTTAGTCTGTCCAAACACTGGAGGTTTTGTGTAAGATTTTCCCCACCAATTGATTGCAGTTCAGATTCTGCTCGCAATACAAAGAGCTGACAAACAGGTTGGACTGAGTTAGTAACATATATACACAAGCACAACCTACACGGAACGGATATCTAGAGTGCTAAATATTGATCACCTGAAGCAACTTTTGTCCACCATCTTCACCATCACTGAAAAGTCGTAAATCTTTGTTCCAGTTCTCATGCAAAAAAGAACCATCAGCATCAGTCTCAGATAGGCCGTCCTCCCAGTCCTGACACAACAGGAAAAGAACATAAGAATTGTAAAGAAGTGATATTGGAGCTCACATGGATAAGCATAGAATTTAGCCTTACTAGAAAGGTCACACAAGAAAGACAATACTTTATGGAAAATCTGATGGGCCTTGGGGCATGGGCATGAAGAATCTCATTAGACAAACTTGCACATTTATATTACAAACCCTTAATCATCGTCCTAGAACACTTGCAATCAGAGACAGTTTCTCGTATAATTCCCAGCGCATGACCGATTTTAGGAAGACGATAATAGGTTTCATAATGGTAAACGCAGTACACATAAATCACTTTCTTCATGAAAAGAAACCAAGATTCAGGCCCTACAAAAATCAGTGCCAACTCATTTCTCCAAATGGCCCAGACAGGTAGGTTGGAATTTTGCAAGTGAAGATCGGAAAATATAAATGAAATAATATAAAGTAATGCATATCTTTTTCCTATTTTCCATTCATTACTTTAAGGGAACTACACACCATCTACAGGTATCATATTGTACTATTACAATGCAGGGATCATCATCATCAACAACAACAACAACAACAATAGACCCAGTGTAATCCCATAAACGGGGTCTGGGGAGGGTAGTGTGTACGCAGACCTTACCCCTACCTTATAAAGGTAGAGAGGATGTTTCCGATAGACCCCCCGCTCAGTGAACAATGGAGATAAGATAATGCAAGGATCATCATTTCTCCAATTACTTGTGATACTTGCTGACAAGATGCTTCTACCGGTCAAATGAGGGTACATTTCGGGTAATAACTCTAAGAGAAAAGATCAACATAAAGTGCGCCAGCTGCTATCAATGAATTAAGCAACTGGTAAGAAGAGAAGTTACAGCACCTGTAATTGCTCACGAATAGCAGGAACATGTCTATGCAAAGCATTAAGCACTGATTTAGATGATCCAGTTGGTTTCGAATGAAATACAGTGTCCACATTTTTTATGAGGTCCATTAGTTCTGTGGATGAAGTTAATATTCTTATCACCTGCATAAAAAAGCATAGTTTAAGAAGGGATGAGAAGAACGAGAGTAAAATAAAAGCATGTGGAGTACCTAACTAATCTGATTGTCAATCAGGATAAAGACAAGCAACAAACGCAGAGTTTAACAGACCACTGGAAAGCAACAACACATGCTCTGAGAAGCATATGATTACAGGACTTGGCTCAAAATAATTTGATCACCAGCTCCTGGCGAATTCTAGTCTGTTGACAATTTTTTCATAACATTAGCAAAGTCAAGATCCCACAACTCAAGGCTCCTATGTCATTAGATCTTACAGTTCACCAACGTCCAAGTGTATCATGATTTATTGTTCTAGCAAGGCAACTAAGACAACTTTCCTCTGTCATCTAACATCATGCGATTTGTTACACCAAACTCTTCAAATGACTCATTGCATAGCATTTGTTTCATCACATATGGCAGGCATCTAGGCCGATCTGTATGTTTCATTTGTTCTCCAATTAATTATCTATCTTAGTGCAGGGAATGTTTATATTTCAGGTTTAAAATATGGAGCTGGATATGCAGTTGTGGATCCCAGACCCTCTAGGATCAAGGAGTTGGGCAAAATCACTTCAAATTAACCCCCCCCCCAAAAAAGGTTAAAGTGGTATCTCCATTAATTTCCAAAATAACAATCGACAGTTTCTGTTGAAACTGAAACACCAGACTCGTGTTATCTGGAACAGTTTTCATTTAGCTAGTTGAAAGTTAAAGAAGCCCTATCAGAGAAATTGATGACCAAACATGCCAAACTAAGACCGTACACATGTCATGCATTCAGTCACTCATTATAGCAACAAACACCCAAATAACATGCACTGGAAGCTTTCGTGCAATAGTAACCACCAAAGGAAAGATGTGAAAATGGAACAGACCTTTGAAATCATGTTGACTATCACTTCTGGATCTGTATGAAGAAACTTGTGGGCAAAACCAATAAAATGCATGACCAAAGAGCTGTAGTATAAGTAGTTAGCTAATACAAAAACTTGCCAAGAAGAGGTATAGGCATGTGGAGTTGACTGGGTAACCTCCTTCAGTGTACTTGCATTAGACTTCCCCAAATTTGCATCAAGTTCTGCAAATTCTTCCATACAAATGGTCCAGGGCTCCAGGTAACTAACCCACAAGGTGAACACCTGTGATGCATTTTTAATAGAACTTTCCACTGGACAATACAGGAATGTCCTCAATATAAATCTGTATAATGGCCTCTGAATCCACGAGTTCCAAGAGTTACCAGAATCCACAATGGTAACAACATTTCTAGATTGAACAGCGTTAAATGTCCCCCCGACTTTCCACCTAGGACTTTCAGTATAGTCAAACT